CCCCCGACCTCCGCGCTTCCCTCTCTCGCAGGCCTGCTTCGCCTCGCTGGTGAGCCAGGACTACGTGAACGGCACGGACCAGGAGGAGATCCGCACCGGTGAGGCCCCGGGGGGTGGTGTCGCCGCGGTGCCCAGCGCCCCCCGCCTCACTCCCGCCGCGCGGAGCCGAGCCCCGGGCGGCCTTCGGGCGCCGCCGAGGTGCTGCAGCCCAGCGGTGTGGAAGCCCCGGGTGCCCCCGGTTTTCTTCTGCAGGCTGAAACGCAGAGGGGCACGGCACGGGCTGCCAGCGTGTGCCTAACTTGCCCTAAAACTTGCTGCTAAGTTTTGCAGGTGCATTTTCTTTATTCAACCAAGTCCCACAGATTATTTTATCACTATTTGTCATGGTCAAACATGTAATAAAATTTGGGAAGAAGAGTTATCTTGCACCTTTAAAAGAAGTTCTTAAAAGTTTGCAAAGCAACGTTTTATATGTCGTTTTAATGTATCTGAAGATTTTCTTCCTGGAAGTACCATGAAAAGTGTTTTTAATAGAATGCAGACAATGACCAGCATCAGCCTGGTAACATCTTTTTTTGGCATCTGTTCTTTATATTTTCTTATTTCATGCTTAGGTGTTGATCAGTGCATCCAGAAATTTCTGGATGTTGCAAGACAAACTGAATGCTTTTTTCTACAAAAAAGACTGCAGCTATCAGTCCAGAAACCAGAGCAAGTAATTAAAGAGGTATGTTAAAATTAGTTTACCTGTGTTGTGCTACATCAGATAAGCTGTGTACCAGTACAGTTAAACACCTTGTTCACACTAATTTTGGGTTTCTCAACATGATGCTATATTTTTTTAAGTTGGTGGATCTCGACTTTTAACATAGCTCTCATGAACCTGGAGAAGCTGGATGCCTGCTGCTCTGGGGAGTATTGGAACACAGATGATGGTTTCTTTGAAAGAAACAAACTAGTTAAATTTTGCTGGAAGTAATGATCTCTGAGCTCTGTGATGCATGGGAACAGAACCAGTACATTCACAGTGCTTTCCCTCTGTTTTGTTAGATGCTTTTCCATTATTAGGATCCCTGTAAGGTCAGCTTGAAAACTCAAGCTAAAAATTTACATGCTCTTTATGTGAGGTTATTGTCATGAATACAGTCTGTTTACTAATACACATTTTTTCATCCATAGGATGTTTCAGAATTAAGAAATGAATTGCAGAGAAAAGAAGCATTAATTCAGAAGCATTTAGGGAAACTGCGACACTGGCAACAGGTCCTGGAAGATATCAGTGTACAGCACAAAAAGCCTGCAGAAATGCCTCAAGGCCCATTAGCTTACCTAGAACAAGCATCTGCTAATATTCCTGCTCCAATGAAGCAAACATGATCTTTGATTTTATGTAGCTGAGTATTTTCAACAATGCAAAGCAGTGTTCTTTTTACTTTGTATGCTTTTTGTATAATGTAATTTGTATTACAAATATGAATAGTTAAGACAACTAAAAGTAATTTTTTTCTTTCCAAATATGGATTGATTTTATATTTCAGTGGGAAATATGCAGAGCTGCTACTCATGATGCTTTCTGGTAGAAGTGTTTTCCAGAATGCATCCTGTTCCTTCTAGAAAGGGGGACCCTAGCTCTCCCCTAACTATATCTTTGCTGGTACGATGAAAAGATTTGCAATGATTGCTGTTTGGTTTTGCTGGAAGATTTAAATGTTTTATGATCCAGTCATTATCCTATTATCCTTAAGTACCACTGTAGAAGCACTCTTAGAATTGTCTCTATCTAGGTCAGATCAAGAGTGTACTTTTTTTGAAGGGAATTGTCCATCTCTGCTGGATTTTTGCTCACCTCATGAAGGTGGGTCTCAGCATACACAAATTTGATTCTAATAAGATGAAATGAAATTAAAAAATGCACTATGCCCATTGGGGCATACATAGTGCAGGTCCCATGTTACTGGTGTTCTTTGTGTCAGGTTTGTGTAGAGATGGTCCAAAATAAAGAGCACTCATTGTAGATGTTGGGTCATCAGCTTCTATTGGGGTGCATTATTCAGTAATGTAAGCGTAGACAAAAAAAGATTTTGGTGGTAGAAACAGCAAAGGAGCCCTGTTTCTCTATTACTAGGCAACAAGCTTAATTCATCCATATAGGCAGGAAAGCCACTTTCTACAGACCCAGTCCCTAGAAATTAATAATTAGAATATTGTAACCCTGGAATCTTGAATTAGCAGTTGTGTACTGAACTTTGTGGTGTGCTTTTAAAGTTCTAGGGGCAGAGTGGGTGAAAACTAATGAAAAAGCCCTATACATTTCTGATCCTCTCAGATACCAAGGCACTCCTCAGTGTAACTTACTGTACACCATTTTATCCCCTTGATTATATGTGTAAAAAGTGTCTTCTTGCCAAATTTGATGCTAAAGTCTCCTTCCAAACCAAGCAGTTCATCTTGGAAAAAAAACCTAGACAGCTGGGTTTAAAGCACTGGCCTGTAGAAGCATTCTGACCCTTCTGCCACCTTTTCACCACCGGTGAGATGCAGGGGCTGTTTTGTAGTAAGTGCTGGCATTTGCTGGTACAGTTCTTGCTGGCTGTTTGATACAAGAAGGGGTCAGGTAAAAGTTGTTAATGTAGCTGGGCCCTGCTAGTTGAAATTAAATGGGAATTCAACTCGTACAGCAGTTGAAAGATGAACTAGCCTGTCTTAAACACAGCTGCTGGTTGCGCAATTCTCCACCTTTCACATTTGTTGATGAATTACCTAAGTGTTAATTTCTTTCTGACTGTCTTTCCCTCCCAGTAATGAGTTAGCTAGCATGATCTGATAAATGGAGTCATTCCCCCGCTTTGCATGTAGGTGGGCATTAAGAACAATGTTGAGATAAAATGCACAAGTACACAGTTCCCATAGATCTGGAACTGTATCACTCTGACTTGCACTTCAGCATAACATAGCGCTACTTGGCAAAACATAGAAATGGATGATTTACAAGCAAGTTTTAATGTTCATACTTACATATTATCCTAATTTACCAGGCTGATACATGTACTGAAGTGCAACAGGAATACTGTATTTCAATGCTGACTATACAAACCAGTTTATTAAGCAAACCAGAAGTATTTCTAAACCAGCCTGCTATAAACATGCTACTATTGGAGGTATACTGCATGGTGTAGAGCTTAAAATAAGTTTAACAAAAACTTGTTAAAAAATTAAAAAATTGCACTATTATATACAGAAATTATTTTAAACAGCTGATTAAGCAAATATGTAAACCTACAGAAATCTACAGAAATACCATCTTTTTTTGCAGCTGGAGCCAGATGGACAGGAAGTATCGGAGACCAAATTGCATATTTAATGTAATTGTGGAGTGGTAAAGCCTCTTGATTAAAAAGTCTTTTCACATAAGTATCCAGAATTTTGCTTTTACTTGATTTTTTACAGAGGTTAAAAAAAATGCGTTTTTCTGAAATCCATGCCTGTAACTCCTTAGTTACTAGATGTAAGAGAATGCAGTAGTTACTAATTATTTATTTGGGAATTACTCCCCCTCCCCCATCATATATTGGATTATCATTCCCTAAAAGAAGACAAGAACAGGTTTTTAGTAAATCTGACAGGTATGGAAATACTTTGCTTTAAAATGAGAAATACTTTGTAAACCATTCTTGGTGCTGAGGGTCTTGATTTTGGTCATCTTTGGTTTGTGGTGATTCATTGCCATGTGTCCTGTGCAAACAAATAAGCATTAGCATCACTTACTTACAATCTTACCATTATTTAATACTTTTTTCCTCATGATGCTATGAACTCATCTGTGCTCACATGAACTGGATGAGGCCAAGAGGTGCCAGCTACAATTTCTAGTGGAATCTGTGCTAGCCAGGTAACTGGGCTAACAGCACTGGTAGTAACACAAAGGAAGATGTGAAGGAGAGCTAAACGGCTGTGGAGAAATGTTTGAACATAGTTCTTGGTGCTTCAAGAATATGAAGTCTTGAAAATGAGAAAATGGCAGCTGCAGTTCACTTAAAAATATGAAATATGATTTATGCATTGAAAATGTTTGGTAAAAGTTTCATTTGGAACTGATTTATCTGAATATTAACTGGCTTTTATAATCAATCCTATTTTATAGTGTCTGATTTTTCAGCAGCCAGGATGCTTTTTTAATTTCAGTTTGCTTATAGTAGCAAATACGACTTCACTTAGAATTGATTTAAAAGATAAGTAGCTGCTAAGCTACCTGCAGTCTCCCTGTATGTTTCCCTTTAAAATACAAATCTGATTTGCCTTAGCAGTCATCTGGCATGACACAGAATGCTTTTTCTTTAAGATGTAGGAATTGCCAAACTGGATCCAAGCCCGTGTCCTGGGTTATTGTCCTTGGCAGCAGTCAGCACCATCTGCCTTCAAGGAAAGAACTCCGTAGCACACAATTTACAGGGTAACTAATCACTAGGAGCTGAGAATGCTGGCTTTTGTCCTGAAGTACAGTGGTAGGGGCTTTTTTAAAATATTCATTGTAGCTGTAAAATGTTAACTACATACATTTTTAACTATTTCTTGAAGAGATCATTCAGTAATATACAAGACTAAGCATTGTTTAAATAACTGAAAAATTTGAAGAAAAATGTCAAGATTTTCAGAGAAAAATACTTAAGAAGCTTTTAGTTAAATATCTGCTAATTGACTTTTAAGTCTCTAAGCCCTTTGCCAAATGATAGCTCAGATTCGTTCAAGTATCTTCTGAAATAAAAATATGCCATCTACATCTACCAAGTGCAAAGTGAGGAAACAAGAAGGAAAATACATCCTTAACAGAGCCACTAATATGCGCCCAAAGTTTTAAACAGCCATGTTTACTATTAATTGCATTCTTAGTTAAATATTTTCAACTCCTCTTTTTGTACTAGCAGGAGTTGCAAGCATAAGCTCTGCTGGGCAGTGATTATAGCCTACTTCTGCCGTAAAATTTTGGGTGTGCTGGTAGAGAATTGTACACATGGAATTCACTGCACGACAGGAAGCGTACGTCACTGTTTATTTCCAAATATCTAATAGTGTTTGAATTGCCTACAAGATTCTCAATAACAATTCATTTATCGTCTTACAAGTCACTGCAAAATGGACAAATACCTTGTGGCAGCACTGCTGTCTGAGGGCTGTGCTGATGGAGAGCCCACCCTGAGGCAGCCAGGACTCCCGTCTAAGCTTGTAGATTTTGTTATCTGAGGAGCACTTCTTTTTGATCTCAAGTCACAGCTCAAAAAGTTCTTTGCGTAGGAAGCTAAATTCGGAACACTGACAACACGACTGGGCACCTCAGCTGTCTTCTGCTTTTTATTGTAACAGAAAAGTTTATTACACACACGTTTTTTTCACACTTTATACTATCAAACCTCAACAATACCTCATTCCCAGATATCTGGTGAGGAGCAGCCAAAAATGAAGATTCCCATCTTCTCTATTAAGCATTTAAAATAAATCCTCAGGGTATGCTGTGGGGATCCATGGATTAGGTAGTCCAATTAAAATGACGTGTATTTGACCTTGAGGTTTTAGATACATCAAAGCCGATAGTTTTACAGAGGTCAGTTAGGTGCTTTCCATCAACTTGACCTCCCTTCTTTCCATGACTATAGACAGTATCATACAGAGGGGCTGGAATGCCAAGGGGCAAATCCTAAGCAGCCTAAATATAGTTCCTGATGCATCCAGTATCACAATGCTCAAATCTGCAAATAGGTCCCAAATCTGCAAGCAATGGCTGTGCTTCTCCCAGAAGACTGAAGTCTTTGGAGTTCTAGTGTTTTATATTTGCTTAAACACTGGTATATATGTACATATATATTTCTACTCAATTTATGTTATACTCAGCACCTGACTGTAGGCTGGCTTACTGGAAAGAATTCTACTGACTAACATTACCATAAGAAATGAATAAGACCTTTATTGTCCTGATCATCTGTATGATTCAGATAGCAGTAACACATCATGTTTTGTGATTTTAATTGCATTGCTCATCTTACCTTCATGGAAGGAGTCAAGCATCCTGTATTGGGGTTGAAAGAAAATGATCGATTCCTGTAAGATTCAGTGTTGGCTAAAAGTGAATGCTGAAATTTTCTTCCTTCCTGGCAGAAAAGAAAGTTATGTATATGGAAACATCTATTTGTAGGAAGTTGGTATGGAAACATATATCTGTCAAAGTACTCCAGAACAGAATGGAATTAATGAGTCTGAAGCAATGTGAAACACTCAAGAGAGCCTTCCAACAGATTTCAAAACACATGTATACATATAAAATGAAATCTTACCATCAGCTGCTTGATAATCTCCTCTCTCTCACTTAATTTGTCTTGCAGACAGCTTATAAGGTGTGTATCTTTTGATCTGGCCTCCCATTTTCTTGACTTTTCTTCTAATTCTTTAAGTCTGTACCAAAGAAAACGCAGACCAGAAAAAACCTTCCTCAGACCAGGTTCAGAAGAGACCTGAACTGTACTCTGCCCTAAATTCCAAGCCTAAAATACAGGGACATAGTCAGACCTTTTGGATAAAAGAGCATTTTTTAAAACCAGGCACCTGTACATGGATTACATATACATATGATGGACATGAGAAAACAAGTCATCATTTCATCAGCCAAGTTAATGAATTTCTCTACTTGGGAAACAGTGCTATGAAGTTCACTTGCCGTACTGAGAAATGTATTACAGACTACAAACCACCATTTTGTGGGTTTTTTTTGGTGAGGGTAAGGTTATTTGAGAAGACTCCCCCCGGTCTTACATTCTTAATTTAGCATATCTTGGAGTTTAGATAAAAAGACAAATCTTAACATCTGAATGGTTTGAGACCTGCCTACATGCAAGTAGGTCTCTCTTCTGGACCTCTGTCATGGACTTGGGATAAGAGAAAAGGATAACAGATATGTATAATCAGGATTATTTCTGAGGGACCTCTCTTGTACAGTCTGAAGCACCACAGAATGCACAGAGGGCCACCAAGTGTATATATTTACATGAGTTAGTGGGGGCTGTCCTGGAAAATTTGCAAGAGTGAGAATGTACAAGAGCTTAACCCCAAAGATGATGCTCTGCTGAACAAAATTAAGTACAATATCATGGATCAAGGTCTCTGGTATCATCTGTGACAAAGATTTCACATTTCTTAAAACTGCAAGATGCTAAGTGCCAGTTTTAGCATTGCAAAACTGTATGGATAGAGATTTACATTAAACAATATTCAGAGTTTATTACAATATATCTGGGTCTTTGTGTTTGCAAAGGAAATACACATACACTTCTATTTCAGTGCTTATAATATTCTACCTATGAGTAATAAAAAAGTTATACGTACTGAGAATAATAATTTCAAACAGAACTAATGCTGAGGAAGAGGAAAATTATTTGGAGACCTTCAACCTTCAGGAAATGGAAGGTCTATTCTATATAATGATGCTATTGGTATTCTGTCTCTGGTTGGCTTGTACAACAACCTTAATGGTCAAACATGACAATAAAGTACCATAGGAACTCACTTGTATTAAGCAAAACTATTTTGAAATCTCTGGGATTTTAACATGAGGCTCAGAAACATTTAATAACTGCCTACTAACATCCTAAAAATAAGTTAAAAAAAAAAAAAGTGCAGGTAAGAAACGTTATAACAATACCTTTAACTGCAACATGTGTCTAACGGACAATATATTTTGAAAGATACTGCTATTTAACACTATCAATTGAAAACTAAAAAATGCCTAACATTTTTTCAAGCCTAGCCATAACATTGCTTCCAGATACCAACCCCAAAACTGATAGACATCTGTTGAAGACTTGTTGTTAGCTTGTTGTCTTTTGTTTGCTAATGTTTTGTTAAACTTTGGAGAAACTTTTTCATTAACACAATACAGAGGCCATATTCTGTTGTTTCCTGATTAAAATAGTGATGTCAGACTCAGGAGATTGTAACTATCACAAAAGACACTGTTTACCTCTTTTTTTTTTTTTTTTTTTTTTTTTTTTTTTTTTTTTTTTTTTTCACTTGTTTCTAAAATGCTTCAGGAAAGGCCAAAAGGCCCACAAAAGGTTTTTGCCCTTGAAATGAGACCACAGCCATGGGAGTGATTGATAGGACACTTGGCACAAAATAAGAAATGAGTAAAAATGGGGGCAGAATTCCTAAAATGGACCTTCAGGGGTAGAGTAAAAGCTCTTCTTCAGAATAGCCATTCTGGGATATATTCTCTCTTCGCATAAAAAACATTTGCTCTCATCCTAGTTCTTGCAAAAGGTTTCTGTACTGGAAGTGGAATTCACACAATTCACAAGGATGGAAATGGGAATGACTACTTCAAGCAGATTACTGGTTTCATTTACTATTCCTACTGTTGCCAAGAAATTTTAAATAATTGGTTTTAAAAAAAATGGCACATACAAGTAACAAGCCACTATTAGCTTTAAATCAGAAAAAACTATATAGCGTAAGACAAGGTCACTTGTTAAAGTAACAGAAAAAAAGCTGTTATGTATATGCACTCATCAGTTTAGTTATTCCCCTGACCAAATTATTGGTCCTGCAAAAGCAAAACAAGAGCTGCAAGTTAATGTTCCAGATCTTACATGGGTTAATTTCAGAGCAGCCTATATCAGGTGCCTAGGACCATTTGAGCTCTTTGGTTCTACCTCCTGTTAGTTGAAGGATTTTTCCTTACATAATTTCCATTAATGCTTCCTTCTCAAATGCTTACTGTAGTAGAGCTACATCATCTACCCCCTGTAAAGATTATCCTCCAGTGCAGCTGCTTTAGCATGAGGCCTTTTAGACCTCATCACTGACATGTGAATAATAATTCTCTTGATGAAGAGAGATCTAAATTCCTTCAAGGTAGCTGGAGGGCACTGATGAAACTCTCTGGTTTGCAATTCTCTCACTTCAAAAGCTTGAAATGAAAGCCACTTTCAAGTAACTCTCCAAGAGTGCAAAGAGAAAAAAAAAAGTTTCTTTCTCATTCTTTAAATATCTAATGACTGGTAGACAGCAACAGAATTGCTCTGGCCACTCCTGACAAGTCTGCTGAGAGACACTGTATCCTCTCGAGCGCTTTTCTCTAGACTGTATAGGACATAATTTTAAAGATCCCTTTAATACTATACTCTTCAGAAATCCTTTTATATATACAGCTCAATTTTAGGGGTATACACTCTATACGATTGCAGAAATTAATTGAAAGGTACCCATGCACCAGATCCCTCAATCTCTCTGCAAAGAGAATGTGTTAAGTATGATCATTCAGAAATTTAAAAGGATTCAACATCCAGACAAACCCACAGAACAGTGATCCTCAGTCTTGCCTCCTATACAATAGGTAAGTCCTGCACTTTTTCTGTACACAGATAGTAAGACTGCTATTACTGCAATGCAATGTGTGCTCTGAGCCTGTGGCTGTAAGAGCATGCAGTGCACCTTCTACAAAGACAGTCAAGTCAGGTTGCCCTTTCTGTGCCCTGACAGCACACTGCAGCTCCAGGCTTCCATCAGCCCAAAGGCACTGTCAGTGTCCATTATCAGTGCCCTTACTCCCTCAGTACAAAGCTGGCTGTTACAGCTAAAGCAAAGTTTTACAGAGTACATGCAGCCTTCTTGAGTGCCCCCTTTAGAGTTAACAACTCCCTGGTTTCAGCTACTGAGAGTACACAAAAAAACCTGATATTTATTCTCAGAGATTTCTACATTTTTTTAATAGCTCTTGAGTGATTTTGGGATTTGTTTGTCTTCCAGTGCCTTTCAGCTGACATTACGCAGATTTTTTCAGGTCACTCCTGTGGGGCTACACTGAACATATTTCTCTGTGACATACAATGAACAGTTAGTTCAAATGCTTTTATTATGGCTGGAGAGAAATGTGAAATGAACTACTGCTTTTGCAAAACTCCTAACCTCTAAAATTAGTACTTTAGAAAGGAAAGATTCTGACATTCATCACATTTAGAACACTTCTGATGCCATCACTGTTACTGACTCTCTAGAAAGCACTGTGAAGTGTGAATTTAAGGCAAACCTTCTGTGCTGTTTCTCCCTGTCCTGAAGCTGTGAACCTTCTTGCTTCTGTGACTCCAACTCAGCACTGAGTAGCTCCATTGTGTCCTTCAAAAGTAAATTCTCCTTCTTGAGTTTGGAAATTTCACTCTGGCATTTTTCCAGTTCATCATGAAGAGATCTGATCTGGCTCTGGCTACTTCCTTCCTAAGAAAAAGGCCAAATTTAGTTATTCACAGCCTCCAATTATTTAATGCGAATGCTCACGGGAACTGTGTGCATTTAATTTTTGTGAACTGATTTTTTAATTATATGTATGATTCTATGTGCAAGACAAAAATCTATGATCAAAACTTCCTTAATATATTTTATAAATTTTATTGCAACATTCATTTATTTACTTGTGTTGTAGATTCTGATATTTAAATGGAAAAAAGCCTGCCCATAGGGAAAAGATTATAAACAATACTAACATTGTAAAATGTGACATAAGGGAAGGAAACCTGTTCCATTTTTCTAACAAATTCTGTACACTTCTATTATCTCTGGAGAGAGAAATCTGATACTACTGCTTTCACAAAATGTGTCATGGCAACCAAGCAGGAACTGGATTCTTGCCTGTTGCTTCTTCAGTGTCCTCACACTCCTCAGCTCCATTTGGAGTTCTTCTATTTGTTTCTTGAGATTAGTGCACAGTGTCTGTTGATCTGAGAGTTCCATCCTTAGAGATCCTAGTAACAATCAGACAGACAATCATTAAGGCAGTCAGAGGCCAGCTGGATGGAGAAGGTAGATATAGACAGTGTAGATGAAAACATTAACACAGTATATTTTGCTTTGTTCCTCAACTCCTTCACTGTTAAGTATAGTTAACAGTTAAGTATAACAGTATAACAGACTGTTAAGTATAACAGTCCCCTATTAGTAGAGAGGTAACACAGTTGAGCAACAGTAAAAAGATATGGAGCTACAATAGTAATGATTCAACACTGGAATCAGAGAGGTAATTCTGTGGCAGTTGTTTGGCAGACTAAATCACTATAATTGCTTTTTCTAACCTTGAACTTTACTGCAGTATCCCCGAGCTTCCCTGTTCAGTCTGCTGGTGTTTATTATAGAGGGCCATAAGGCACACTGAGAAGAGCTCTGGAGAAGTCTTAGAGAAAAGTACACCACTTATGTGAGCAGGTCTGTCAGATATTGCATATACAGATGAGCTTTAATAACCTGAGTTCAAACCCAGACATATTACAGATCATCCTAATGCAGTGTTCTGTTTAGTTCTGAAAGTTTAGGGAACTTTCTAAACTGACTAAACAATATGTGTGGAGCAACTGATCTCCACTGGTAAGCTCAACAGAACAGGCTTGAACCACATATACTAATTCTTCACATCATAGAAAAAAAGAGGAAACTCATATACACTAACTATGGTATTCCAATTTAATATACCTGATAATACATACTTGACTGTTGTACACCAGACTACTCTCCCAGCAACGTTCTGCTGCTGACAGTTGAGAGCTAGGTTACCAAAAAACTATTAACTCTGTATTACTGAAATTGCAGGGTATGGAAAAGGAGATTCACAAAAACCTGATTTCCCAGAAAATGGGAAAGAAAATGAATGGGAGGAAAGTTAGTGCTTCTCAGCATATAATCAAGCAGTAGGAGCTGTACATGACATTAGACATTATACCTAGCAACAGGGTTTGCTGCTTCTGTATCTGCTCGAGTTCATCATGTAATTCTTTCTTCGCTTTCTCTTCCAAGGTTTGTATTTCCAGCCTATGAGACTGATGTTGGATCTTGAAAGTCTCATTAAATTCCTTTTTCAAACGTTCTTCTGCCTCCTGTAAGCAAAAGCCCCGCCCCCCCCCCACAAAGTAGTTGGAGCCTATTTATCACCTTGTTATTTTACTTGTAACAATGGGATGAATCTGGTCTTTCATAGTAGAACTTTTATTTTCATCACCACTTTACATGTCACTCCATCAACACAAGAAAAATAATGAGCTGAAGTTAAAAAATAAAAATTAATAGGGACAAGAGAAATCATAAAGATATCATCTATTAGATTTGCTGTACATCATGAAATAGTAACACTGATATCTTTGCACTGTTTGGCAATAGAATGATGTTTTATTATTCAATATAAAAATCCCCTCAGATTTGACCTGTATGTCATTACTTATCACAGTGTGTCAGATAGAGGCTTCTATCTTTCCTTGTATCGTTCTTGGCCAAAACTTCCACTGTTGTAGGAAGTGCTGCTGTTGATACACTGTAAATGACAGAGCACTTGTTCTGTAGAGGCTCTGAAAGCAAACTCCTATCCTCAGTTTCATTTTTACCAGCTTACTGCCTTCAGCTTGATTTTGTTCAAGATGGGATTTTATTCTGAATATATAAAAAAGATACTTAGGGTGGTTTTACTACATATGTTTTATAAGCAGGTTTTCCCTAAGGTATGCAATATCAACAGGGATATCTGAACTCCATGTCAAAATCACGTATGTATTTAAGTTGATTTTTTTTTCCTCAAACAGAACATTCTTTAAAACTTCAATATATTGCATTAACATTTTGTCACTGAAATAAATTAATTTAGAAGCTTTGGTTATCCATTTAACAGAATTGATTTCTTGAAGGTATCTAAGGCAATACACATGATTATACAACTCTATTATACTTCTTTTAAAGTATTTATGTATAAATTAATAATAGATGAAAAAGAGTAAAACTGAGTCCTGTTAATAATACACTTAGGAATCCCCTTCTATTTCTGAAGCAAGAGCACAGCTAGAGGAACTTGTATTTGTTGCAGCTTAACCACAGAGGATACGCTATATTATTTTATGAAACTAATTAATTCACACTGTGGTCTAAGTTCAAATGTTAAAATCATTAAAAAAAAACCCCTGAAGATGAGAGGTTTCAAAATAACAGAATAAGTAATTCTGTGCAACAATGGCAACTCATCATTAAGATAACTGGAGATAAACTGAGTTTTGATAATTGTCTCTAGCCAAATATGATTTATCCCACAATTTTTTTTTTTTTTTTTTTACACTAGTATGTTGTAAACTGACCTTGAGTTCCTGATTTTTGCTTTTCTCCAACATTTTTAAGACTTTCTGATGTGATGCCTCCAGCTGCAGTTTATCATTCTGGTTTTCTTTAATAGTGTTTTGAAGATCCTGCAAAAGCTTCTCTTTTTCTTTGTTGGACTGTAGATTATGTTTCTTCAGTGACTCCTTGAAATTATTTGCTTGTTGATCTAATATTTGCTTCAGCTGAGCCACCTTCCAGAAAAGTAAGTCAGCATAATAGGATTAATGGCTTCATTCACAATGGAGAGGAATTATGTAAATGTGAGTTTATTTTATGTTCTCGTGTTGGTTTATGAAAAATAGCAAGATGCTTGTTCCATGGAAGGAGCTGTTTTTTCAGTGAAGAATGACATCTCTTTTGCATATACTGCCTGTTGCCCATCAAGTACTTTTCTTATTTCTTTTCAAATCGTCTCCATCTCATATGTACAATCCACAGTTCAACTTGCACAACAATTATGGCACAAACCAGGAGGCAGGCCTAAGGCTATGCTTACTGCCATCCTGGAGATGTAACCCTGCAGAGTCGATTTATATATAGAACCAATGGAATCAAGAATTCTGCACATCACACATTATTTTCTCTCCTCTCTTAGCTTAATTACTAAATACAGTAGACATGCCTATAATGGCTGACACAAAAGTAACAAAACCACCCCCTGTTTATAAGAATAACTTGGTGAGACGGGGAAGGAAGGAGTCTGTTCTCAACTCTATCTTATTTGGTTAAGTTTTCTAAACTTTCAGCAAAAATTTCTATTTGCCCTTCTTAAATTTGTCATTCCTAACATCATAGCTGTGAAATTCTGAAAAACTGCCTTCTGCATAGAAGCAGTATGCATTATCAGTCAGGCCAGTTAGCATTTTTGCAGCTCAACCTGACTTCCAAGTCTGCTTTTTTTTCTCTGCCCTGCCTCCTGCAAAGCTTTTATATTTCTTTCCTATTCTTTTGGGGAGCATGTGAAAGAGAATGGTCTATTTTCCAGTTTTTATATACTTGTACAGCCTTAGAGAAACAGAATTCCAAATATGAAAGGAAGAAGTTGGCTTCCTTAGAATTTCATGACTTAAAATTATTCAAATGATGTTACACACATATAACCTGTGACTCCATCCTATTCTTTCCCCTACACTAATGTATGTTTTTTTTCTCTTCTTCAGTGTTGCCTTATTTTTTTTCCCATGCATACTGCAGACTGTTTATAAGTTGAGGAAGTGCTAACAGCTTTATTTAGCTAAATAATTGCTTGTAAATTCAGCTGCACACTTGTGGTCCTTTATGATGCAGCACCACAAAAGCTGGATGAAGATTTAGTAAGTGGGCTAAAGTGTCTATATTACGTGTTTCATTCTTATAGCACTTTCCGGTATATTTTGCATTATGTAAGAGAAGAGGAGATATGCTGTGCAAAGCCCTTACTTCTCCTTAACTTCAAGGCCACAGTCAGCATTGCACTATCCAAAGGGATACTAATGAGCTATGTCAGATCTCTCCAAATTACAGGAATCGTTTCTGATGATGGCTAAATGTACTCCTGCTAGCTCACAGCTGTTTTTTCTCATGTCAGTTGAACATGCTGGCTCGTCTCCTCCAGAGGATGTTAATTCTCTCCTTTCCTTCTCCTAAGGCCCTTCTCCATTCCCAGATGGATCACAGACCTTATTCAAGTACTCCCTAAGCCTCTACCATTCTCAAGTTTTCTGTCACAGAACTGAGCTTTGAAGGCTCAAAATGGTGCAAACCCCTATCAGAGCCTCTATCAGTTCCCAGGGCTTGAACTCCTTTTGGAGAAAGGACATTCTGTACTCCCACTTTATGACCACAACTGTCAACTACATTGTACCTTCACTTCTAGTCCTGATTTCTGCTTTTACCATTTCCTGGCATCTGCTCCCTTCTCTCTACTATTTAGACAAGTCTTTAGGTCCCAGAAATGAATCCTGATATTAAAAAAGAAAAATAGATGTGAACCATTTTTTTTTGGAAACACTCAGACTTATTTCTACTTGATCAGTTTGTCCTATTTTTTTTTTCTATAGAACAACTGAATAAGGGCCTGAAAACATTGTAAAAACCTGCTCTATTAAGTCTGATGGTAGTTTATAATTTTCAGTAAAAAGTTCAGAGAATTCACAGAATATCAGATGAAGATTATTTATTTCTATGTAAGCATGTTTCATGTGAAACATGAATGTTCATGGCCTTCATGTGCTGTAGAGATTAACTCAAAACCTGTTACCTGAACACACACATGTCTATGAGAACTATGTAACTTCCTTTACTAAATCTGTAAGCAACTACAAGAAAGAATTACTGTTCCATTTCTGAGTAGGTTTACGGCTGCAGAACTGCTGTTCCTATACACAAGTCAGTATACTGTGTTCCTTCCATTTAAACAGAGTTTGTCTTTCACTTCAAATTCGCAAGTCAGGTTCCTTTTCTCCAGTTAATTGGTGGCGGTCATTACTGACCATCGTCCTTCCAATGTCTTGCATACAAAGGGTCATACTATTATAATTATTTCATTATTTGCAAGGACACAAATGGCTCTGTGTGTGAGAGAGAAAGGAAGCATGGATGCACAGAAAAGTCAAGAGAGCAAGAGAGTATGTGTGTGTGCATATGAAGGTAACTGGGGCACTAACCCAAGTGATGAGGCCCTAGGTTGCCCAACTGACAACTTAATATGTAAGTGAAGAAGTGGCAACAGGTGACACACTGTAGCTCACCCTATAACCCAGTGACAAGGAAACTTTTTAAATGGTGAGAAAGCTAACAGAAGGAAAAAAAATCCAAGTCTAGGTCTCCCACACATCATGGGAATGCTAGGTTGGTAGGTAAGAAGAAAACCTTCACCCAGTGTTTTCTGAATCAAATTTATTTTGTTCTAAGTGCCAGTCAATGAAAGATTAGTTTTACCACTTCTTAAGCAATTTCAAACCAACATGGTACATTTGAATTTCACTCAAACTATCCAACGAAATTGATTTGAGTTAGCGTATTTGAAAGAGCACCTAGCTTCAGCCACCCCAAACTGTGTGTTTGTTAGCGAATCATCCAGTTGTTTTCTGGCTTTTTCCTCTGTGTCAGCCAATTAAACACAAAGAAACTGTCTGAACAAACTAGTGAAGAATAATTGCTAAACGTTATTCTTAATGAAAAATATATTTTTTTTTTTAAACGTGTCTTGTGATGGGATCTATCTGTGGCCTGGATACACTCCAAGAACAGTCAGATGCCAGAGCCACTTGCCAACCATACCTTTGTTTCTAGAGCTCCTGCATTTTTTTTTTTTTTTTTTTCAAATAAGTGGTAAATCATAAGCTTTAAGTAAATGGTCATTTTGGCTTCTGGTTAGAGGTAAAACATTTACTTTATCTTAAGGCCTACTGAACTCAAGCCAATGTTTTCCTATATTAAGAAAGGAAACACTGAAGTTTTTCGGTACTGCTGTTCCTTATAAAATTAACCTTTGATGTGAAACTCTTGATGCCATATGGTACCCTGTATCAGCTGACGTAATATGCATTAGAATTACTACACTCAAGCATGCTTTTTATTTCTGGTCTTCCTGAAAGTAAGACAGTGAGTAAAAGAGATGTGCCAGAAGAACAGGCTGTATATTTTCCAACAGAAAAATTTGAAACAGGAAAAATGTTGCTTGGAATACTTCTTTTTCAAATTCAATATTCATCTACATGGGGAAGATGAAGAGAAGCCTATATAAACTTCAGCTATGGTCACACGATTATTAACCTTCCAGAATCTCTTCACAGACAATTATTGGTTCCAAGCACTACTAGCATGAAACCTAAGATCATACTAACTAGAAATAGGCTAAGCAGTAAACTGGTAGCAACAGAGAATGTAATGTAGTAAGTAATCAGATGGAAAAGTATTTCTAAGAATATTATTTTTCAGTGATTTAGGGAAAAAGACATACACAAACACATTAGGAAGAGAAACATACTCTTTCCTGCTACTTCTAATGTATTAGAGGTTAAGAAACAAACATTTCCATCCCATCAGGTTTCCTCCTCCTGTCTTTCAGTTAAAATGGTTTTCAAATCCATCATTGCAAATCCTCCTCTGGAGTATTTTGCAGTGCCCAGGCTTTTATTGTGTTTCATTACTTCAAAACAGATAGCCAGACCCTCAATTTGTAAAACTGGTAAAGCAACACTGAAGCCAAAGAAACTATGCCAACTCATGTAAGTCTAGAATCTGTTTGGCTCCTTTCACTATTAATAGACCAGCAGCATTGTTTTATGATGCCTTTCTGCTGCAAAACAAAACCTCTTGAAAAAAACTGTACCTCTAATTGCATTATTTTATACACAAGAATTGCTTGAAGTGGTCTTAAAGATGAAACTAATACCTATCCACAGTATAAACTCTAGACAACTATTTTTCTAGGCTCTGTTGAATTCTTTTCAAATTTCTGAGTTATGTCTGCACTTGCCCTTTCTTATGACGGCTGATTTTGCCTCCCACTGTCTTCCAAGTAAAGAAAAAAAAGAACAACTATTACTAAAAGATGACAGATAATTTTTGAAATATTTCAAAAGTCTTTCAAGTTTCATTCTTTTCTAACCATAATTACTGTCCTTCTCCTGGGACAGTGGCTTGATTCTTTTGAAGAAGTACCTCTCAGACTTTGATAGCCCATGTGCAAAAATACTGGGCAAGTGTAAGGCAGTACATGCCATCACAGGTGGCTCCCCCATTTGACTTCTGCTTTGATTATTTTAATTCACTGTGCTTGCAATCACTATGAATACTTGAAGTCTATCTTATGTCTGCTCTCCCCTTCTTTTATTTATTGTATGTAAGAAGTGTGAAATCTCAAAGGCAAGATCTAAAGTTGAAATCAGAGAGAATATTTTGACTTCTGTATATTTTAAGTAGAAAGACTCAAGTTTCTCAGTGCATTGCTAGGGGATGAATTTATATAAAAGACTTAAAAAGCTACTTTTTGATGTATTATACAAGAGTCACCACAATTGAGAATTTGTTCAGAGAGTTAAAATAAGGCACCCAAAAGGTATAGCATTTTACTCATATTATGATGTAACTACATCAAAACAGTAATATCAATAACAAAATAATGAAATTATGTTTTACTGTTGTCTTTAGGCTTATCCCACAGTTACTTCAATTAAGTTCATAGTTAAGTTTACAGTTAACTGCCTTCCTAAACTTTCCTGACCAGAGAGACAGGTGTGAACACACTATGCACATCTCCACTGCTGCTATTTGGTACCAACAAGATCTCTCTCGAGGCTTTGGGCTTTGCTGGGCTAGCATTGTTCAAAGATATATCATGACAAGGCAATGCCTGCACTTCCATTTTATGTACCTTCTAATTCCAGCGTAGTCCCTTTAACAACGTTGAAGAAATCCTGTAGTGCAGAAGCAAGGAACTGGATGACTCCTAATGAATTAGCACTCAACTCACGTAGAACCTCACATCATACTTTCCAAAGGACCAAACAGATGTGAATCCGATTTCTTTATCCAGAAAAATCTTAGTAATACAGAAATACCACCACTTTGAAGTGCATCCCCAGAGAGATTAAATTATCATGATTCTGTCTACTCTGCATAGTGTTCTAGCTATGTCAGCCCGACCAAAAACGTGCTTTATGCAGCCAAGGAATCTATATTTAGATCTGAAATTGTATCCAGGTTAGAACTGGATTAGTAACAGCACATTGCCTAGCCTTTGAGGCGGAAGCTCTGGGCTGAGCCATTGTAAAGATTCCCAGATGGGAATCATGCCCTCAGTGAAATACATAATGTTGTACAGTAAAAGGTGGTTTCTTGGCTGTGAATATTCACATATTTATAGAAGGAAAGTATTTATAAATTGAAATTACCTCACTTCCCTGCCAATACTGCCAAGTAGTTGGTTCCGAAAGTAACTTAGCGTACCAAGAAAAATACAATATTTCTCTTCTGAGGGAGCATTTCCTCCCTTTTTGAAGCATGGCTAGATTCTAGCATATTTTTCTGTCCTGAATGTGTGACTTCAAGAAAAGTAATTTGATCACTCACTGACTCACTTTTTCCATCTGCAAAACCTGAACAATAATTGCTTCTTGTCATAAGCCTTCTGATTTCTTTGAGACCTTTCAGTGGAATACATCACCTGCATGCATATACACAATACTATGAGATCAGATAGTGTGTGCCACTACTCTCCCTTCCATCTCTTCCTCTCACACCAAAAACTAGTATAACTTTCAGGCATTACCCAGGAATGCCAAAATATCATGGTAAATTTTCAGCTTTGAATGGACTAAGATATTTTTATCAAAATATGTACATTTAGGGGACATTGGAAAAGAATGAAGATGACTGATTTCTGAGAACTCATATTTTACATTAGGTGCAAAGAAGTCACTCTATCTAGAGTAACACAGGTTAAATTGACCTGAAATTCTCTCAGAGAAGAACCTGTAGGAAATGGTGCATGCAGAAATCTGTAATGAAAGCCAAAACCAGAATTTAGACAGAACTTTAAGAACATTAAGAACTACACTTAGATTCTGCATTGCTAAGACTGAGAAATGGATAAAATGCCAGAATCCAACTATGATACCAGAATCTATAAATCTGTTTTACAGGAAAAATGAAAGGGAAAAGACCATGCTGCACTCAGAACTAATACAGCTAATACTAATTACAGTGTGAATCGGAGAAAAAAAGCAGGTCTTACATAGTAAATGACCACAATACATGCGATAGCTGGAATGTGCTGCACCAAGCAGGAGTGATGGCACTTGGGAAAGTGGAAGCAGGTAGGAGAGATGGGCCAACATCTTGCATAGCCCTCTGGTGAGACTATACGTCCTTTTTCTGTCTTAAAACACTTAAAAAGAGCTTATTACACTCAAAAATGCCACTCAGAGGGCACAAATGCCAGCTGAGAAAGATCTAGGTCTTCAACTTTTGTGGAGCTGTTCCCATGCAAGTCACCACTGAACTTGCTGGAAGTGAAACTGGTTAGAATCAGTGGAGATGTAAAGCAATGGAAATTATAGACAGCCACTTAGAACAGTGGCTATCTGTAATTTAGTAGTTTCACAGTGTGAGCTACCTAATTCCTGTTGTTCATTACTTTTTCCTGAACTAGAGTGAAGAAATGTTGTATATTTGGAAATACCCTCACTTTGTTTAATAAAATCTTGGAGCCTCAATACCTGGATTGGCAGGAAAAAAAACAAAGAAATGGATGACAAATTCTCATTGTGAAAACATATCTGTTCATCCATAATCTCCCAGAATGCACAATCATAAATAATTTCATTGTTCTTCTGAAAAAGGTACCAAATACAAAGATATACTTGGGGTAGAAAAATAAATGCAGCACTGAGCATCATCAGAACTTTTCACTAGGGCACTGATTTCAATTCGGTTAAAGCAGTTGTTTAGTAGTTTATCCATGAGATAAAAGTATCAAAATGTTCACAGGCAAAAACTTCACATAATCACACTGAAGAAAAAGAAGTATCCTGTACGTAGCATTTTAAAGCAGGTAGCATTTGCTGACAAGAACTGAACACCACAAAAGAGGAACACACGAGGGGAAGAAAACGTGTATTGACAGTTGTCAGAAATTTTAAAGGTGAACTGTTTACCTAGGTAAATAATTGCCTTGTAGGGATTCTGCTTTTGTTTTGGCAGAAAATTATTTATCAACTTGTTACAGCTTTTCAACTAATGACACTTTCCTGTATAAATATTTTGGTAGATGTACTAATCCAGAAAATTTGCATCACTTGGCCTGCAACTAACTATACATTATAGCTGTTACAGGTGGATAATCTAATACTAACACATCTCAGGTGTTTTTTTCCAGATTAATCCATGTCCACATTAAGACTTAGGTGTAACCAGAGTGGGGAACAGTACATAAGCTATGACATCCTCAAAGCTACTTTGGGGTCACAGTGCTTTCTCTATTTCATTCTTCATCTTGAGAACATACTAATATATACTAAATTATTGCACATTCCAATCTGCTTCACTTAGCATGCATACTGTCAAGCAGGCAGAACAGAGACAATTATCTATTCGACCTTTTTTCCATTCCATTTGCTTGCTCAAGGGAGCAAGCAAGCAGCCCCTTTTACATGTCTACACACAAAAAAGAAAAAAAAAATATAAATCAGCAAGTCAACAAGTGCTGTAAGGAAGATTCTAATTTCACTTAGCCCTGTAAACAGAGCCACCATCCAACCCTGACATACCCAGACTTCTCACCAAAAAGCCTTTGCACATCTCCAAAGAGTGAAATTTGAAATTTATTAACTAAATAGGCTTGTCAAAATCCTCATAGATGTTCAGGAGCCGTAATTTCTGTTATTTCTATCTAGAGTCCTTGCATATTTTCTTGAATGACAGTCACACCAAATACGATTAAAATCTAATCAAGAATCTTTCAGATGAGAGGAAAAACGAAGAGTCCTTTTATTACTGGTTTACTTTATGCCTGATTTACCTCAAATGAAGAGTTTTGAAGTTTCCCAGTTAGGACTTCTTTCTCTTTCTCTAGTTGCTTTAGTTCACACTCAGATTTTCTTTTAAATTCCTCTAGCTGTGTCTGAAGCTCCTAAAGTAAAAAAAAAAAGAAATAAAAGTGCATGTAATAGCTGGGACAAAACATGAAATATGAAAAAGAACATTTCATCTACATTAACCTAGATAGAACAGTTTACACAGTAATACATACTACTGTTTTTCAATGTCAGTCATGTATTATTCAAAGAAGTATTAACAGTTTGGTTTGGTTCTTTCTAATACTAGTGTTAGACAATACAGCTCACATAATCCTCATCTTCTACTGAAAGCTTCCCTGAGGTGAAAAACTGTACAGCATGAAGAGCCAGATTGTTTTGTCTTAAGTGGTGTCAGTGTTTAAAAATAATTTAGTGTGCAAGAGTCACTCACAAGATCTGAAAAAACACAAGTATATATTGGCCATATAAGTGACCAGATGACTAACTAATGGGTAATTAGTGGAAAAGGAAATCAAAGGAAGCACTATTTTATAGCATCCATTTAAAAAAATCCCAGTGAGGGGACAAAATAAAAAGTTGAAGACAATATTATCATGTTATTGCTGGAATAGTTTTTGAAAAATCAGTAATAACACTTGCAAGACAGTGACCAAGAGCTTGTAGCAAATGTGAGCAATTGTTTATTGTAGGAAGACGGAATGTGCAACTACTAGAAATGTCCTGAGGTGATATATATTAAAAGCTTGTTAGTGTGCTTGCTTTGTGCCAATTTACTGACTCAAAAGAATATTCTACCATATTTTCAGACACCACAAATGGAGGAAACAGGAAAAAAACCCAAAACAATTTAACACCTCCCTCGTCCTGTACAGCCCCTTCTCACAGCCTCCCTACCCCCATTTTTATAGCAAATGACTTAAAGAATTCAAGATAACAGAAAAAGTACCTAAAACCTAAGAAAGTGATAATCATTGGGAGGATGGCATGATATTAGGAAACAGAAGCACAGGCAATAGTGACATATTCCTTGTAAATCATAATTAACTAAAGGATAATACTAGCATTTCACAGTTTAAAACCAGGATAACTATTAGGTAGGAATTAAAGGATGGAATCAAATACAGAGACACGAATATTTCAAGGGAGAAATTAGGTTTAGTTTTGCCTGTAGGAAAAGGAGAGGATATAATGGGCTTTTTGATTAAAGCTGAAGATGAAGTGTTTGCAGCTTTCCCACTAGAGCTCTGCCAGCTGACTTCCTTCTCTATATCTTAAATTTTCTATCTGGAAAATAGATACAATACTTGTCAAACAGCTGCTATAGGCCTTAACTGCATTACAGGATATAAAAAGCATTAGTAACAAAAAATCCTATAATTTTATTTAAGTTTTACTAACTCAAGATTTTTGTGATTTAATTAATATGAATCTCTAAGAGAGTTATAAGCAATAACATTTATATTGTCTATAAGCAATAAATGACTATTATTATGCCTTTTTTTGTGAAGTGTTTGATATTTAAGTTTTATCTGCCTCACATGAAGATCTTCAGCCTGGCATCATTTTAAGTATACTTGTACAAATTTATTCACATAAATTAATACAGTACATAAAAGTCCCCTTCATAAGGCTTGATAACGTAAATATGTACCATGAAGAACTTCATCTTCATTTAGTGATCAAATATAAGTACTTCCACAATCAGATAAAATAATTTACTCACACAGTTTCCTTTTTGAGAAATGAGACTGCATAAATGTATAAACTTCAGCAGTTTCATAGGCAGAAATAAATTATTCTGACAAGCACTTACAATTCCTAGTCTCCAAAATCTAGAAGGTACTATGAAGCTCAACAATTAGTGATAGGAGCTGCATGCTTTTTATGACTTCATAACTTGTCAGCAAGCAATTTGAATATTCTCATGTAAATGTTGAACTCAGAAAGGTACAGCAGCATTAAAACTGAGAAAAATTGGTAGAAGTATATTCTTATCACCAAAAGGGGTCTAAAGAACACCTGACCAGTAGTCTGATTGTCCAGTTCTACTGACTGCTCTAATCAACTTTTTTTCAACTTTTTTTTTTTTTTTTTGGTCTATATGTCTGACAAACACGCAAGCACATTAGGAAACAGAAACTAAATTCCTCTTTAGTTTATTCTCAAATCTGGCAACCCACCTGGGCATGCACTGAGTTACAAGCTTCACTAAGCATTAAAGCATGTGCTTAAAACTAAACATGTGTTTCAAGTTCCTACTCCATTTGAACACATTTCAGCTCACATTTAGGTTCCTACTGCACAGAAACATTAGATTGCTAACTTCCTGAAGCGAAAGGATTTAGCCACAGACAGCAGTTCTCGTGAAAGTGAAATTCTTTGAAGAATCTCTTAAGCCAACTGCTGCTAATGCATACCAACAACAAAAAATACAGCTCAGCCACTTAAAACACATTGAGAAAAGGTATTGCTCAGGCAACCTGCCTGGATCCACAAGATGATGAGCATTCTTTCTGGCTAAAGTTAAAAAAGGACATATACATGAATGTATTTGTAACTACTCATCATTTCACTAGTAACACCAGCACACACTGAATCCATTTTACCAACATTTTGCAGAATTAGATCCTCTGCCTAAACAATACAAAATTTGGATTAAATCAATGTATTTGAGTATTTCACAGCAGCAATCCATCAAAATTTAAGTCAGAAATAAGAATACACCTAGAATACATTTTTCTTCAGAAGGCACCTTATATTAATCACTGCAATTGTCACGTGCAAAGCATGCAAGGATAAATGTTGCTAAGAAGGCAGTTTATCACATCAAGGATAAATTCACCTTCCTGCCTGTGGAGGTTTTCACAAAAATATATCAGCTTGACTCCCCCCC